AAGTAAGAAAATAAAGAATTATTAAAAGAAAAATATTAATAATCTAAATTAATAATTGTGATACACATAGTGATTATTTGAGTAACAATGTGCTAAATCTAGATGTATTAAATACATAATGATCATTTGTATATCCAGAGTGAAAATGATCTTCTTAAAAATGTAATAGTGCAAAATAAAGATCTAAGCTAAAAGAGATCTAAAGAAAGATAACCCAATCAAAATTATTACATTTCTATTCTTATTTTTTATTATTTTCTTAATCATTCAGATAAATAACAATATGATTTAAACTAATTGATAATTTACTTAGTTGTTCTATCTTCTAATTCTTTATTATATATATTCATGTATCTTTATAACTTGCATGTAAATTGTGAACAGTTATTATTTAAATTATAATAAGAGTCTCTAAAATTTTTTTTAATAGATCTGCATAATTATAATTACATAATTTTCTAGTTTTTCACTTTATAAAACTTTAGTATTGCTTTATAAAGTTGTACTTACAATAAAACTTTAGATATCATTCAAAAATATATTCTGCTTTAATAATTATCTTCTTTAATATAACTATTATTTATAAAAATTAAACTATAATTATTTTTAGACAAATGCTTCCCAGTTGTGAATAACTTAAAGTGCTAAGACCATTTTTATTGTAAAGAAAAAATTTTTTTCTCATGATTTACATATAAAAAATTAGAAATTTTCAAGCTATATACATATTCACATTTCTTTTAGTAATTATTTCTAGTTTTTATACCATTTTAAAGTTAATCAATAGTTGTTTTCAAAAAAATGATTCCCAACTATGTATGACTTACGATGCAAGAACTTTTTAATTATAAAATCATGAAAAAATAACTTACTATATAATTTCGAATCGGTCGACGCTTTCTGTGGATACTGCAAATGTAATTAAATAAACGCCTGACATCGATATCATTACTGTGGTAAGATTTGTGAATCCATAATTTCCTCTGTAATTACACGACATAATATTACCATGATTTTTGGACTAATGCCAGTACCATTTCGTGAGTTTTTCTATTCCCCTTATTAATTTAAAAATACGATAAAATTTTCTGAGATGAGCAAAGCCGGAGAAAGGAAAAAGTCATGTGTTTGAACTGAAATAATAAAAAATAAAAATTTAATTCATTATAGGATTATTTAACAAAAAATAAAGTACTTATAAAAAGTAAAATTCCACAAGGAGCAATTTTTCATAGAACAAAATTTTGAGATATACAATATGTACAACTATATGTATTTTTAAAAATCAAACTTTTACACGTTGGACAAAAGCTTACATAGTAAAAATTAAAATTATTTTTCTATATTAAAATTTTCAAATTTTCCAATATTTTTATTTCTGTATCAAAATAAACTATAACCTGACATATATTTTTTAGAATTTTCAGATTTAATTTGAGAAACTATCTCTTATAGTAAAGTGATAACAAAAAATTATTTATAATTAAATTTATAGTTTAATTACAAAAATTTTTAAGAATCACTTTACTATAAGAGATAGTTTCTCAAATTAAATCTGAAAATTCTAAAAAATATATGTCAAGATATAGTTACCGTAAAGTCCCGTAAGTAATCAATCTCCTTAGATTTTGTCCAAGTGTATGGAGATTAAGCATTTGAAAAGTGCTCGAAAATAAGCAACCTCCCCAAAAATTCGGTGACATAAGGATTGCTTATTTTCGCAACTTTACGGTAACCTTATTTTGATACAGAAATAAAAAATATTTATTAAAAAATTTGGAAATTTAATATAGAGGAATAAAATCAATTTTTACTATGTAAAACATTTCCAATCACAGACTTTTGTCCAAAAGAGTGATATAATATTGCAATGTTAATGGTAAATTCCAATTCATTATTAATTTTAATGTGAGATATCCTGGGTGATTATTCTGGTCTAATGCTAAACTAATTAGGGAAATTCGTATTGGTGCGCATGTTACTTATTTAGTAATCTCGTTGCCGAGCCCATTAAGCCGAAGCGTTACTTAAAAACGTGGATAAACCGGAGTTTGTTCTAGGAACAGCTATAGCAAGCCCACTTCGATAACCCGAATTTATTAATGCTATGATTACTCTGTACTTGGGCTTAAACAAGAGATTTTTTATGTACATATAAAACTTTACATGATATATAAAATCAAATGACAGGAAAGAAAAACTTTTTTGGTAGAATCTATATGACTGATTAAAATGTAATGTCGAGACATAAAATAATAAATAAATCGAGAAAATTTTATTTAAATTAAACTTTGTATGAAATTAAAAATACGCATTATTAAAAACGCCAAAAGATTTCAACACTGATAAATTCACTTTCAAACAGTTATATAACCAGCGTAGGTTCCAGCACATTTTACTATTCTAAAAAAAATACAATTCATCCTAACACAAAATCCAAATTCAACAAATGAAACTCTTTTTTTCCATTGTTTTTATCTCCTTCTTTATCGAAGCGTTCTTTGATAATGCAATGTCCTCACCAATCTTATCAAATCTCGGAAATGAACTGACATCTGCTAATAGTCAAATCGATCTTCCATTGACGAACACCGATAATGCTATCCAATATACGGATCTAGATCCCAGCGAATTTGAAACTGCGGATCATTTACCGGGGGAATTTGGTCATGAAATTTCGGATTATTTACCAGAAGAATACGGTAGTTTCGAAGCTGTTATTTTTTTTAACATATTTTAAACTAAAATTTATTCGGTTTTCTATGTTTTATAAGCAGAGCTTTCTGTGATTGGACCAGAGATATTTCCTCGCTACGATGACGGTATGTATCGTCGTCGCCGTTATGATGATGAATATTTTCGCCGTCGTTACTATCGTAGAAAGTATCAGAAAGATTGGTATAGATATCGTCAAAGATATTATCGTAGACGCCTTGATCCAGAAGAAATTTAAGCTAAAAATAAATAACTTTAGAATCATTTTCTTAATGTAATACGTTTATCTATCGGATTTATGCGTACCTTAATATAATCATTTATATTATAAATCTAAATAAGAATTCTTTTTGTGTGTGATTGAATCGCACATTAAAAAATTTATTTGAGTGATATCTTAAATATTAGTTTTTTTAGGAAAAATATTTACTTAATACAGTGGCACCCATCCATAATTATGGAATCAGTTGAATGAAATTTTTAATTAGAATTTCTCAAAAACAAGTGATGCTATGATTATACATTAATAACTGTAAAATTAGATCGGTAAAAATTCAAATTAATTGAATATTTAAATAAAATCTATAACAAAATCACTAATTACGCTATAACAGACTTTATGTATGTGATGACACAAAATTTTAAAACTCGTTACGTATAACGAGATGGGTTGAATGTATCGATGTAATAATCAACAAATGCCATGATTTATCAAAGCATAATTTGTCGAATGAATTGCCACTCAGACTTTCAAGAGCCGCCCTTTATATACAGTTCGGTTCATAATTACTATCTACATTACAGGTCATAACGTATAAGTATGAATTTTTGCTAAAGGTATGGCTATGCTTCGAAACAAAGAATAATAGAATCAAAAGTACTTATAAAAAATAAAGTAAAATTATTGCGTTCAACACAAAATTTGAATTTTCTAGGAATTTTGTAATAATGTTTATGGATCAAGCGAATTAACGTAATGATATGAAGGTTTATGAGTTTTCTACTGTTAATCATATTTTTTGCAACGCAAAGAAAGCATATTTGTAAAGAATCCGTGTTGTTAATACATATACCATAAAGTAAGAATTTTTACGAAACGACATTGTTACGGGCCAATAGAGATACATGTACATGTTTATTGATAACTTTTGCCCTTTGACGGATTAGTGGTTTGCATATTTATATGCGCCTCAGATTTAGCCGAATTTTCCATATATATGTACATGCACTAATGAATTTATTGATTCCAAACCACGACAAATGTCACTCTTACTTGTTTGAAAGCAACCTGTCGTTCAAGTTTGCTGCAGTTTTGTAGTATTAATGTATTAAGTTCTATACACGTATAAACGAATATTTGCCTAAAACAAACACTTTAGTTCGTTTTACGAAATCTAATTCTAGCTAAACATGATAAATTGCAGAACGGCCAATATTATAAAATTCAATATTTAATATTATAAAATAATATTATAGCAAAGTTGTTTTTCGTCTTTGACATCAAACAAAAACGAATTTTTTTGGATACATCCTAGTTCATTTGTCAAATTGAAAAATGAAAGATTATTTACTTCCTTTTATTCCTTTCCTAGGGCTGTAAACATATAATATGTTCTAATTAAACGACGTTGACAAAAAATTTTATATTTCAACAATTACAGAATATAAATGAATAAACATATTGTTAATTAATTTGAAAGCTTAGCAATCTTCTTATTATAAATTAATTAAAATTGACTATGAATTAATAATATGAAAACTGGTTGATTATAATACTAATATTTGTTAACTTTCAGAATCGGCATCGCGAACGAACGAAGTCCCAAATGAACGGCTTCCCGAAAGATCGAAATCCGGAATGCACGAAATCTCAAAAGTATAGCATCCCAAATGCATGAAATATAAAATTATCACGATTGCGGGATTTCGATAATTCGAATTTCGAAAATTCGAGATATCGTTCATTCGGGATTTCGTTTGTCAGCCTTTTTAACGTTCGGGATTTCCAACATTCGGGATTTTTGTACCAGACCCATCATATCACATTTTGATTGAATGTTTGTACAATATTTTATGAACCAATGAATGAAAATTGCTGAACATGAGCCATTTTATTAGTAAAAATCATTGTTTTTACGCGTATAGTTAGCTATAATTTTCGCTCATTAATAGTGTTTCTATGCTTTTTAGCCATTATAGACTGTATATTCTAAATACTTGTACACAAATAAATTTACAGTTCTGGAGAAAGTAATGGCACGGGATGGTCTTTAAATTAATATTAAAAACGCATTTTTCTCTGAAATATTTATTATAAATGTAAATTAATCAGACGAAATATTTTACTTACAGTAAAACATCAATTTTAAGCATCACCTAATATTAACGTTAAGCATCATTAGCGTTAAAAAATGATCATTTTGTCGGTGCTAAATATTGATGTTTACGGTACCTACTTCCTAAGACAATTTTTGAGATTTTAAAGATTATTTACATATGTTTGAAATTGGAACATTTACAATATATTTCAAAATATAATAAGAAATCATTCTTAAGACACTAATTAAAGTTGTTCGGTGATATAATATAGTTATTTTCAAAGGATTAACTAAACATATTGTATGCATCTTAAGATATATAAATAATGAAAAGAATATTTACTTTCCAATTTAAATAATGAAAAACTAATTACCGTATTCTCCCGGAAATAAACACCACCTGAGAATAATGAATAAATAAGAGTCACGCATCTCATGTATGAAAACTGATCACCATCTTCATTTGCTGTGTTGATTGAGTAATGCTTATTCTCGGATGAATCCTCTAGAAATCCTATTTTTGAGTTCAAAAAACGGTGCTTATTTCCGGGAGAATACGGTACTTTCCAATTTTAATAAATAAATTATTGAATTAATATTAATAAAAAATGAATAAAATTAGGTTAAATCAAATATTCATAATAATAAAATTTTAAATGAAATTAATATTTTTATTTTTGAGTAAATTTAATCGCCATTACTTTCTGGCAAAACTGAATATGAGTAATATTCTTTAGATGTATCATGAATTTGTGGGTTTTTCAGACATTTGTCTTTTCATTATCCTTGATTTCATATGGTATGTTAAGATCGGGAATCTGTTTTGCATTAGCAAAGATATAACTATGAATTAAAGCAATTAACAAAAGATTACTATTAAATGTAAGTTACCTTCTATTGGAACTTACAAACTGATATTTGTAATGCCTAGACATTAGATATGAGTTTTAATTATATAAAAATCAATATATTTAGATTAGAGATAAAAATGTACCTGTATAATTTGTTATTAACACTAATTTTTTTGGTAAAAATTCGACTTGTGTAAATCGCATTTGAGTGAATTGTTTGTTTTTTGCTCGTATTTGTAAGAATGTTTATTTGCCCATTCTTATCTAATTCTATATCAAATTCTTTTAATTTATCCTTTTCAAGTTTGAGACATTCAATAATCTCTTGTGTTTTAGGACATTCTAAAGAGCTATAGTACTGGAAATGCAAATTATTCAGTTTCCAATCCTCTTCTGAATAATGCGGATAAATAAAGTAGAAAGAGGTGATAAAGTCTTCAAGTTCCAAAGCAATTGATCTGTTTTCCGGAATAGATTTTTCAATAATAAATTATACAACTGAGGCAGGTTGTTCTGTAGCTTAGGTCATATTCCTTTGATTATGTCTAATATGAGATATTTATCATGGCTTCGCTCACCAAAGGTCATTCTTCTGTCACAATTTTGTATAAAATCATTCCATAACTATAAATATCTGCAGTTTGAGTATGTGGCTTTCCATTTAATACCTCTGGACTAATATAAGGAAGCATACCATAAATTTTTTGACAGGTTTATCTATATTTGTTGTATCAGTAAGTCCAAAATCAGCAATTTTGGGAGATCACCATCATTGACATAATCCATTACTATAGAGCAATGTTATTTGCTAGAACGTCCAGTGAGAGTCACTGGAATTAGAATGTCACTGGACCTTACTGGATGGAATTGTGTAACAGATCAGCTTCCAGTGGTAAGTTGTCACTGAATGGAAGATTCAGTGATATCCAGTGGCGTCCAGTAATAACTCAGCAAATTTTTTATATTATTATACTTGGCGTAAAATGGCTCAACGGCACACAGGTAGTCCTGGAAAATATTAGTTTATGAATGATATTATTATACTTGGGGTGAAAGCTACAAACAAACACAATACTTATGGTATATGTAAAGCTTGTGACGAAGCTCTTGGTTGGAAAGAAGCTTTAAAAAATCCAGTTACTAATAAAAAAAATACTATTCGAAACCACCTAAAAAAATGTGGATATTTTTATGTCAAACTGGGATCTCAAGAAGCAGTAGACATATACTATAACAAGATGAATAATGAAGCAGATGCTTCTCAAACTTCAAAAAAAATGCTGAAACACTAACATATCAGGTGAATAGTTAGTAACTTCTGAAAATTATATTAAACATATCAATAATTAATTTTTTTTAATAGATAATGACATTCATACAAGTGATATAATCTCCAATATTTCTTCTTCTATCACACTTTGATCACTTCAAAGTTCAAAAAAAACAATCAATTCGATAGCTAATTATATTGTTAGAAAGATTATGACAAAAAAGAAATCCAAATTCGAATAACTATTGCTTTAGATGATAATATCAAATGAATAGGCCTTTCAATGGATAACAAATCTAGCAACCCAAGCATTTTTTAAGTTTTTAAATCTAATTCTAACACTTTCTGGCTGACGTGCTTTATCTAATCATATCCTGAATACTGAAAAAGCCAATTTGATTATGTCTCATGAATAAAACTAAAAGAAGACAGTATTAGAGTATCCTTGGCATTTGATGGATGGAAAAATATTCTAAAACAATATATTTTTGGTTCATTATTTATCTTATTAACTGGTGAAGTTCAAATTTGAGAGGTAATTGATATAAGCTCAGCACAAGAATGAATGATTGAAGTTATTCCAAAAATTGAAAGTATAATTAAAGATGCATTAGATATAAAGACTAAATTATTAGCAATTATTTCTGATAGTGCACCTGCATATGCTGCTGTAAGATAAATATTATATTGTTTCTTTAAAAAAATTTATATTTTAATTACTCTTTTGAATAAACACTAACTATAATTGCAATATCCAAAATTTACTTTTTTTCCATGCTTCACTCATCAATGTAATCTT